GCCACAGGAAGGGGCGGCTCGTCGGTGACCACGCACAGGGCAGGGATCCTGACCTGAGATGCAGAGGCTGCGCTTCACCTTCACCCCAACGCAGGACACTTGTTAGCACGAAAAGACGGGCCAGGGGTCAGGGGTCAGGGGTCAGGGGCCATCTCAGCCTTTTACTCAGGGAAGAGACTGCACCTCCAAAGGGCCACTTCCCTGCTCTCAAGAGGGGCCGGGCTGTCGGGGCTGTCCTGAGAGCCGACTGGGTGAGCGGGTCAGTTGGACACGGGGAATTTGAACTTGGGCGGGGGTCTGTGCTCAGCCCCGGGAGAGGGTTGTTCGGGGAGAGGTGAGAGCGGGCGGCGTCTGGCTCTTTCTCACTCCCTTCTCCCAGGCCTCGCCACTGGGGGCTTGTCTGGCAAGAAATTCAAGCTCTGCCAGAGCACCACGGCCTCCCTGAGGCTCCCCCACAGCAGGCCCGGGGAGGAAGGCTGGTCTGGGTGAAGCGGGAAAGCCTGTCCAGGAGCAGTGCGGAAGGCCGCGTGGGGCCCGGGAGACTGAACTGTCAGAGCCTCAGAGCCCTCCCCACCTGGCCCTGCTCCAACTGTCGCCAAGGTGACCTGTCCCAGGGATTGTCCCTCCCTCTGGGAGCTGACAAGTCTGTTAATTGATGTCTCCTCTTGACCCTGCCCCAGTCCATTTGCTCCTCACCTTTTAGCCACCCACTGACGCCTCCTGGGCCTGGTCACATGCAGGAAGGAGAGAGGTAAGGGGAGGAGGCGGGAGAACCAAGAAAGACCAGGAAGCCTAAGAGGGGCAGGGCACCCCACTCCTAGGGCCACCAGGACACCAGCCGTAGCCCTCCTCTCCCTCCCGGGAGAAGTCTGTGTCACTACTTTGTAAATCCACCCTGTGTGATGTGAGAAAATACAAATAAAAACCCGAGACAGTGAGACCCGGGGGAGGAGGTGGGGGGGGTCACCTTGACGGCCTTCCCCGCTCCCAGGAGGAGCCTTCCCAGGAGGCCAGAGAAGGCGTCACTGATCTCTCTCCAAGTGCTGGCCCCCCACCCCCAGCCCAAGGACTCAAGTTCCTGAGTGACACGCCCACTAAGCCACCCACAGCCTATACACTCCCAGTCCCCTCCTTGGTTCAGTGGCTCATTTTCCACCAGAAAGTGGGTCCGTTCCCGTAGGTCAGCCCCGTTCCTGGACAGAAGGCAGGAATGATCTGTGACATGGTCTCTGTGACGCCTGCCTTCGCGTCCCTCTCCAGCGTTCAAACTTCCACCCGTGGGCAGCAGCACTCGCCACCGTAACCGGCGGTATCCTGGGGAAGTGAGCCGGGAAGACCGAGTGCAGCTGGGGCTCAATCCTACAGAGATGCACTTGGCCTCCTGGCCTCAGCCTCCCCTGCAGTGGGCGGGACAGTCACCATTCGCCATGTGATTACTTAAGTGTCTGTGTCCCAACCAGAGAGTGAGCTGCCTGAGAGCAGAGCCCCCAGGTCTCCCACGCAGCCCAGCACTCTGCCCGCAGCCTCACGCCCTGAAGACACTCATGTAGGATAAACAGTCTGAATCTACTCACCCCCTGGCTCTTCATCTTTCGGATGGAACCATCCCACCAGGTCCAGAGAGGTTAAGTGA